TTTAAATATGAATATAACTCAAACATGAAGACACTGCCTGGATGCAGAACCGTTCCTAAATTTCTATATTCTTATTATGGGGGATATGCACACAAGACTTTTGTAGCTTCATTCCTTGTAATTAATCTTATATCAATAACTACATTTATTTTATATAAGATTAATAATACATTAATGTTATACAAATTGTATGATATTACAATTTATAAAACAAGCTGTTATATAATTTAAATATCACATGAATTCAACATTCATACAAACATAAGTTTATTTCTTTATTTTCAATGTACTCATTATGGATCTTACATGTAAACAAATGTAATAAATCTAAAGAGATTTTGGCTAAAAAGGAGTGAAGCACTTAAATTAAGTTACTCATTTGAAACAGAATACAAAAATTTAACTGTTAAAAATTATACATTATTATATAACACTGTAGGATACTAGTAAAAATATAAGTAGATTTAATGAATACAGATTATATTTTATAAAGTTCAGCGTTCAGATTTAGGGTTTAGTGTTAAGTGTACAAGTTTTAAATTTTAGTATTTGAAATAATTATTCATTTTTATCGTCCTTATATTATAGCTCCTGTTGTTTTTATTAATACCTGGATAGATTTTAACTATCTTGATTTAGAATTATATTAAAATGATTGATTTTTTTTTATTAATATTGTATTTTTCTATTATGTATTAAATTAAAAATATGGACATGATAAGTAAATGATATTATACGTTATATTATTTTTATTATTTTAATATTATAAATGAATTTATCTTTTTGTATATATTTATTCTTATATGAAAATATAATATTATTAGGTATATTGCACGATAAATTTTATTTTATCATAATTCTTTTTATAGAATTTCTTATATATATATATGTAAAATTTATTCATTATAATTTTGTTATATATATATTTTCGTATAGTATTTTATTGTTTATTAATCATTGTCTCTATTTGTACAACTTCATATAAGCATTAAATAAAACTAAGACCGTATATCAATAGAATAATATAATCCTGATAGAAGTTAATTTAAGGCTAGTATTCTTAGGGAATATATTGTTCATAAATATATATTGTAAATATTTGCATATATACCTATTCATTCATATTATTACGATTTTAATACAAGTAAATTATTTTTTTCTCATATATTATCAATCAGAGTAAGTGTATGTGAAATAAAATATATTTATTGTGTATGTATCATGGTATAAATAAAAAAGAATATATATATATTAGTTTTTATTCCTATTCTTTAATACAATATATGAACTATATTCTTTATATAGTAATAATGTTCTATTTTCATGAATTATTAATTAATGTAAATGTAACAAAGAATAAATGTACACATAATGAATATATCACATAGGTAAATTATAATAATAAAGTATAATTCATATTTATCTTTTAAAAAAATTATTCCTTTAAAGATTATTTAATCCTCTAATAAATCGTAAAAATCTTATTAAATGATTTATTAGATAAAATATTAAAGTATGAATCTAAATTATGTTATTTTTGTAAAAATAAAAATCTGTATTAATTGCAAATTACATAATACATACGATAAAATAAATAACCTACTAATTCATTTTTATAAATAAGCTTATATACAAAGTAATGTAGTTCTTATGTTTGAATAGTGTTATAAATTCAAAAATCAAGTAGAACATAGAATATAAATTGTTAAATGACTAAAGAAATATATGAAATAATAATAAATACAATTATATAATGATAAATATAAATTTTATAAAAAAATATAGAAATAAATTTCTACATAGAAATTAATATAATTTTACTATAAGTCAAAATTAACATATCATACATCAGTCACAGGTTTACAACATTAAAAAAATTAATACCACGTGATATATATATAGGACAGGATATTTCCTATTCTATATAAAATAAATTATTTTTAAGTTTATTCTCCTTATATTTAAAATAAATAATATAAAACATTGAAAATTCATAAATCTTCAAAACAGATGTCGATATACATGCCATTATAATAAAAATATAATAAAAAAAATATATATATTATTAAGTGTTAACCAAATACAAAGAAAAATATATTATAATTCCAACACAAAGTCCTAAAACAAATAATGTTAAAGATATAAAATAAATCCTAAATATAAATATAAAAACTTAAAGGTATATATAAAATCTTAAACGCTAATACTCTATATATATATATATATATAGAGAGAGAACGTTTTAAATCCATGAATTCTAAAACCTTTTACCTACAATTATGCATTAGAAAATATGAGCGTAATGTATCATACAGATATTTAGAACAACACTGAATTATATATATAAATGTATTATTTATTAATTAAAATCATTGTTCTATTTAGAACACTAAGTTATATTTAATTTATTACAATGTCATTGTTAATAATTCTATAACCCAAAAAAGTGTATCCTGAATTATAAGAAATATTTATGTACAAAAATATTTATCCGAAATTCTAAAAATTCATGATAACATTCCATACACTTAAGGATAATTTACATTGAATTTTTTTAAAAAATATCAATAGCATTACGCCTATACGTATTATGTCTTAACATATAACTATATATATATGAAATTAAAAAAGTGCTCATATTAAGGGATATTTAGTTTTTTAATTACTGAATAATATTAAGAAATTTACCTAGATATATTTTGAAAATTTCATACTTTTAGTTTTACAATTTTGTATATAAATATAATTAGAGCAAACGTTTGTTACATACTATTATATATAATTTGTATTAAGATATATTTTAATAAAACTTATATAATAAAATTTATTATTTATAATTTTATATCCAGTTTACCCCTTTTAATGCTCAGGGTAATAATAAAGTATATACAAAAACCTATAGTGAAATTTAGTAGGAATATATATTTTTTAATATTTTAAAGAAAAATATAATATAAATGAAACAATAAAAAAAGTATTCACATAGATTATTGTTCTAGATAGAATCTCAATACTGGAAAATCTAATTTTATGATAAATGAAATATGTATATATATAAGTTAGAAAAATATATCATTTTATATATATAGAGAGCGTAACAAAATAGCTTTATTATTTTCATCTTTTAATATATATTGTATTTATACTATACTAATATGAATATAAATTGATATATTATTGTATGATATTTTCATCCATTTTATTGAGTATTCATTATCGAAATTCAATAATATGTAACAAATATATGACATGTTTGAGGTTATATGTAGTTAAAAAAGCTACATACATAATATATGTATTAATTTTTAACATATAACTAATTTTATACAATAATACAATAATCATAAAACTTAATGAATTCTATTATACAGTTATGCTAGTGAAAGTTTTATATAATATGTAAAAAAGAAATAATGTTCTAATATTTTATTATTATAGGAGAAGAAACATTTATTTAATAATACTATATGCAAAATTAATACTTATATAACTTAAATACTAAATTGTATATCACTTCTATGGTATTATGGCAAAAAATATTTATGACACTTTTCATGTATAAATATAATATAAACTATTTTTTCTTTATATATGAGCTTTACAATTTTATTACATTGTATATTTATTTTTTTTTTAAATAAGTATAATAAATTATTTTTTTAAGCACATTATTCATATGAAAATTAGGCATAATTTACATGAAATTATTATGGCTATTTTTATAAAATATTTAATTGTAGTAAAAATAATATAAGACATTATGGTTTTTTTAACAAATAATTAAAACATAATAATAAAAATATCATTATGAAATTAATATTGTGTAGATTATATGAGAAAACAGTTATAAAAACGTTAGTTCTTTTATTATATCATTTTATTTTTTCCTTATACAAAGGAATAACTATCGTTTCATTTACTAGATTTTAAGAAAAATATAATTTGTTTGGCATATTGGACATGTATAATTTGAGTTTAATAAATGAAGAAAAAATTAAAATAAAAATTATAGCAATATATGAAGGAATAATTTTACTTCGAATAATAGTATATAAAAAATAAATAAATAAATGCACTATATCAAAATTCTAAGAATTTTTTTTTATACGTAATTTATTTATTATAGCATTATATTAAATAATGCAAAAAATATTTATTCATTATAAAATATATATGGATATGATATATAATATAAAATATATGTTTCAATTATTTTTCCTATTCATACGTAATATATCATTATATAATATAAGATATAAATAACACAATTAAAAGTAAATATATATTTACTTAAGTTAAATAATTATTTACAATGCACCATATATTCATAGTAATACATATATAAATTGTTATTTCTTATGATATGTCATTTACTTTATTTTAATATAATTGACATAAATTAAGGTATATTATATTTTTGCGTTCCTATTATATATTATAAAAATGTAATGAAAAACCTAATACAGGTATGATGATTGATAAAATAAAAATATTTAAAACAAAAATAAGCTTATAATATATATGCATAAGCATGACTTGTTAAGCTTCTGTTTTGAACTAAAGCATTTTTATACACTGTAATTAAAGAATTAAAATAATTAATTTATAATAAAATTGTTTACTACATTCCATATAAAATTTATTATATAATATGGATTGGAAGTATATTAAATGTTGCGATATATATATAGTTATTACTAATACAGTGTTTTTATATATTTTATTATATGTTTCGCGCTATATTAATTTATTTTTCCTATTATGATATGTTTTTTAAGCAACATCATCTAGCCTAGTAAAAATAATACTACAATATTTTAAATGAATAGCGAACTTAATAAAATTTGGGTTTAATGTAAAATGTGTAGAATTAAATAATATCAGATGTGTTATTATATGTGATATGAATGTAAAATTTACCATGATATTTTTAACAAATAAAAATTTATTATAAAAAGTGTATAACATATTATTTTTTTTTTCTATGAGTTACATAAATTATGACGATTGACACTATATCAGAGGGTGAGGACGTATGATTTAAATGTTTAAAAAAATAATTCTTTATAAGCATAGCTTTAAAATATCTTATTTAATAAAAATTAAAGCCTTTTTTTTTCCTTAATATTTTTATAATATTTGTGCATATTATGACTTCTGTTTTTAGTTCGATTTTAATGGTATGTTCCACACATGTACAGATGGTTTCAGCTGGGATATAGAGGCACGTAGACTTCAAGAGGATCAAATATTTACTGCATTGTGTAGTAAATTTCAGAATGCTGTAAAAAATGGACCTAACATTTTGAATCTTATTAAATATTGCAAAGTTCTTGGTATATATTTAAAGCATATAGGAGGAAAAATAAAAGAAAATGATAGAAAAAATTGTTGTAAATTATTCTATTATAAACTAAAAAAAGATATAATAAGAAATTTTGATTTAAATTGTACTAGCGCTCACGACTGCTATCAGAAAATGATTGAGCGAAGAGTAGAGAACATTAGTACAACGATATCAGGAATATGTATACAATATTCTGAACATATAGAAAATGATTCATCTAAATTATTGGAATATCTGTTTAATATATATTACGACTTTGATCTTCTTAATGGTTTCAAAAAAGGCGATATGAAAACTATGCGCAAATTTAAACAGGAAATTGTAGATTTAGAAAATTATAGGTGTAATAATAAAAGACGACTTAAGACAGAACTCGAAAATATTATTCAAAAATGTGAAGACTATAAAAAAAAATGGAAGGAAAAACCATACTCTCATACTGCAAATCTCCTAGATGATGATTGGATGAATGAAAGAAGAATGAAAATCAAAGAATTAGATAATGATGTTTTGATGAGGCAAGGGATACGTTATATAAAAAATAGAGAAATTAAACAAACAAATGTATTAGTTGCTCATGCTTTAATGGATACAGTGAGAGAGGGTGAAACACACACAGGAATAAGTGTTGGAATGATTTTTATAACTTCTTCATTATTAATAATTATGTTTATTTTGTATAAGGTTAAAAACAAAATCAATATAACAAATTTATATTTTATTATAATTTATCTTAGAAATATTTTTAAAAATACATATAATATAAATGAACAATAAATACAAATATTATTATATTTTTTCTTTAGTATACCCCTTATTTTTCATTTTTAAAACCAAGGATACAGAAATTAAGAAGAAGTTTGAATAAAAATAACAAAACTAATCGGGAACTTATGTATTCATTTGATGTTGAATACAAAAATTCAGTTGACGGTAGGTATAAAATAGCATATAGTTAATTTAAGAAAAACCTATTAATTAGTAATATTATTTACTTGATTCAATTTATTTTGCATTAATAAATACAATACAACATTTGAATTGTAGCAGAAAATTAATTTATTTATATTAATATCAATTATTATGATAAAATAACAAGGGCTAATTATAATTACAAATAAAATGCATAATATATAAAAATTTAATTTCGAATTATTAATACAAATGGAAGAATAAGCATCTATACTATATATAAATAGAATAAATTAAATACATATATACCATTCCCTTATTTACTGGAATTATGATACATTATAATAATTGATTTTGAGATATAAGCATTGTGTGTTCAACCAAAAATAATTTTCACAGAACAAAATATTAGCTCTTATTTAAAGATTATACAATAACATTCAAATATAATTCATTTGGTTTTAAATATATATATAATAAATTAGTTCTTTGAAATAAGATTGAAAAAATTATGAGTGTTATACATTCTTTTTAGCGAAATCATATGTGTGTAACTATTGCAAGTATTATATTGATATTTAATATTTTTTTCCAATTAATATAAACAAAAAATAAGGAAATAAGAAAGGAACTTAACAATATAATTAATACTTTAATTTTTAGCGAAACATATGTACTTTCTAACATTGTAAATGTATAAAAAATAAGATATACCTAGTGTATGTAAATATATAGAATATTACAAATTAACATAGATGTTCATAATTTTAATTGAGTCCAAAATAAAAAATAGGATTCATAATTCTAAAATATTAAAATTGAAAAAATATTTTATTAATTATCTATTTTAGCTTCTAATATATTTATACTATTGATAATCATTAAATATTACTTTTTAATTAGTGTATATCTCTCCAAGAACCTTTAGTAAAATAACTGAAGAAAATTTATAACATTAATGTGAAAAACTAATTGAAATTACTTCAAAATATATTCCCTATATATAAATTATTATAATTGACAAATTTTATTTTTATTATGTTATAATTTATTATTATATTATAGTAAATTTAATGAAATTATTTAAGTTAAAACTAGTTAATATCTATAAAGACATTATATAAAATGATATATTTTACTATATATATTTATTCTCTTCTAGTAGTAGTACACAAAAAATATATAAAACAACACATATTATATAGATTATTACATGGTATCAGTAATTTCCTTTTATATATCTATAGGATAAATGAGTATAGAATACATTATATATACCACAGTGTTTAAAAATTATTTAAATAATAAAATAATTCTATAATGTAAATATATATGTATTATAACATTATTATCATTAATTAATTTAATAATATAATTTAAATAACATATTAATTCACATGATTAATATTATCCTATTAAATATCTGATACATATATTTTTTGGGAAATTTAATGAATATACTTTTGTCATTGAATTATAAAATATTATATATACAATATTCAGTATAAGGCTAATTATTTGATGAATAAAATTCAACTAGATTCATTCTTAATGCTACGTTATTTCTATTTTCATAATATTGTGTAATAAATAGATTTTAACTAATGTATTAGCATTGTGACAGCAGTGATATATTATGATTTATTCAAAATAAAAGAACGAAAATAGAGATTTAATATTTATTTATAGGATTCATTTATTTTCCTAAATATTATTTAATTTATTACCCTATTATTACTTGTTTATTTATTTAATGTAATACTTCACTCTTTATTTTGGATATATACAATAAAAAATAATGCATTTCACAAATTATATATTATGAACACAATTTTTGTGTTAAATCTGAGTTCATTTTCTTTCATATATGTATTCATAATGTATCATAACTGTAGCTTTATTTTTATATATTTTTAATTTAATATATATATTATAATTATAGTATATTATATTGTAATATTTCAAATTTTTTATTTTATTTATTGACGTTATATTGTAAAACTCTAGGGAATACTTATAATACCACTATTGTTATAAACAAATGAATTTTTATGTATAATTATTTTATTTTCATACAAAATGAAAATTAAGCTAATTATTTTATAAAACAATATTAATTAATTTACCATTATTATCTTAATATTAGTATTCTACTAAGCTATATATCATTCCGTATTTTTTTGAATTATTGTATCAGTTTTCAAAAGGATGCATTAAATTGAGGCTATCTCTTATTTTTTTTAGCATTCTTATCTAATTACTTAGTTTTGGTTACAATATATAACGAAATGATGTATACTAAAAATAATATGAAATGTCATATACTTAAGCAAAAGTAATTTATTATATACAGGTAATTCATAATTTATGTAACATTAATTTTATTACAAATATATTTAAAGGATTAAATATAATTTTATCTTTATATATAATGAATACAATTATTAATATTATAAAATGTAGAAGAATAAATCCTGTACTCATCCCTGTGACGAAAACTAAGCCTCCACCTTTGTTTGTGTCTGAGTATAAAGCTGCCTTCATCTTTCTGCTTATAGCACAGTTTATTTCCCTAAATGGCATTATTAAGACTATATCTTATTCGAATCATATTTATAATTTTTCATCCCTGCGATCATATCTACATTATATTAAAAATTTTATTAATTTATATTACAATAATTTAAACAAAAAGCATATTTAATTATGTATAATCATACATTAAAAAGAAATTTGTGGAAACATATCAAATATAAAAATGATATTACAGTTATGTATCCTTTGCTTATTTATATGATAATTGATTATATTTTTATGTTGAATAGTATTGTTAAGACAGTAAACAATTTTTGAAATATTTATATTCATCAAAATTTAATATATATTTATACAATACCATATATATTACAAGAATATACTTCTCTATTATGTCATTGCTAAATTTTCTAACATTATATGACAAAGAATTATTATTTATTAGACCATACATATATTACCTTGTTTATAGTTTCAAGCAATGTACATAATTTCGGCTAATTACACATTTTCAGAATATGTTATATATATGTCAATTATTTAAAAAATATTCAATGCATAAAAATATTATGAGTATCCATATATTTTGTTTGAATATTAATTATTAAATCAATTATTTTAATATTTATTCAATTGCATAATAATTAATTTATTTTTATTTTGCATAATAGGATCCAAAACATGTATTAAGTGTCTTTTTCTTTATATTTTTAAATTAGGTTTTTTTGGAGGAATTAGTTAGAGATATTGATAGAGGATTTACCATTAATTATGAAAAAACTTACACATGTGTTCTTTGAACTGTTCATAAAAAAATAAAATTATTATATACAATAATACTAACTGGTAAATTATGTTTCGTTTATTTACTTTTATTATATCATAAGAGACAAAAATATGGAAAGTAATCATATAAAAGTTCTCAATATTCAGTAGTGCTCTTTTTTAAATATTGTTTTAAATATTTCTAATATTTACATTTTTCTATAGGTCCCATTGATCATTTTATCTTATGAAGCTTTTTCCTATAAAGGAAAAAATATCAGGT